CCTCTACAATGCCATGTCCGTGGAGGAGGGGGCGGCGGGGGCCGCCGCTGAGGAGGGCGAGGGCTTCTCCTACCCCTACAAGCCCATCTTCAGCACCCAGGGGCCGCCCCTGGCCAGCCTGCAGGACAGCAACTTCCTCACCGAGGCTGACATGGTCATGAGCTTCGTCAACTTGGGTGAGTGCCTGCCCTCGGCGAGGCCCCGGGGCCGGATCCGGGAGGACTGAGCGGGGACCGTGCCGGGGGGGGGAGGCCGGAGCAGGGCCCTGGCCACCAACGGGAGGGCAGGGGCCGGTGGCGCAGGTGGGGAGCTGTTTCTGCAGCGGATCAGATGGGTGGCGGCCCACTTGGGTGAGGAGGGGCAGGTAGCGGCCCTGGGAAAAGTGGCCGCTTTGCGAGGCGGTAATTAAATGGCAGCAACATGGAGAGGGCTCTGGCTTCCCATCACAGCATTTGGACAGCCGCAAGCTCTCGCCATGCTCCGTCCCGCACGCCGACACACTTAAGCTCTTTGTCGTCTTCTGCCTTTGATAGTCACTTGCCGCACCTCAGAAATTGGATTTGCAGGTAGGAGTTGAACAGGACGATTAGCAGATCTGTTCCGCATCCCGCACCGCCAAGGAAGACACGAAACCCAGGCAGGACCACGGGTCCCGCACGGCTCCCAGCGCCGGGCTGGCGCTCGCATGGGATGCAGAGCCACCAGGGCTGCTTAGACGGATAGTTCCCTGCGGCATCCCAGCGCCGCGCTCCCTCGGCCGAAGGGGCCGAGCTGCTCGCACATGTTTTCCTAATGGCTTGAGAGGGATTCCACAGTAAATCCGTCTTTACTCCTGCAGCTTTTTCTGTTGACCCCCGTTTATGCAGCTAACTCGCCTCTTTTCACGAGCACATGTGGATGGGTTTATGCAAATGATACAAAAGTTGGCATGCTTTGTATGCCGCTCGCTAGGCCTCTCTAATTGGATGCCACGGCCCAATCTGATTTCTATTTGCTTGCTGTAGATTGCACACCCATGTGGACTGACTTGGCCGGATTTTAGTAAAACATTGTTGGGATGAGCATTCTATTTTAAATATATAATTATAGACCTGGTTCACTCTATCCGTTTTTAGACCTCGTCATGTGCAGCTCTGAAACCACCACGCGTACAGATTGGGTGCCTGCAAGTTCAAGACAGAGTATGAGTAGTATTTCCAAACCAAGATCAACTCAAACTTTGTCCCAAACAAAGGGACATGCAAAAAGCAAGAGGAGCCCACCTCTGGCACGTACCCCGCTAGGGATTACGGACACCCCCATCGCTAATAAATCCATTAACGCCTTTATGGATGTCCCTGTTCTGGACACTTCCACTGTCTGGAACTACAGAGGCAACAAAGATTAAATCACCACCTCTCTAATCCCAGCGCTTTAACTAACTGAAAAAGATCAGTGGCTGTAAAGGCTTGGTGACAGACGTTAATAATTATTAGACACGGTAGCCATCCTGGCACAATTGCTGTATGATAGGGAGACACGGGGTGCTGTGGGAGATAGCTGCACCTCCGTGTTGACTACCATAAGCTTCACAGCGGGAAGCTCTGAATTACACCTGGCCTGGGGGCTGTGCTCTTCGAGAGCGCTGGTGCTTCCCCTTTGGAACTGCAGTGTTTGTCTAATCGCTGCTAGATACTTAAGCCGATCAGCAACGATACATTTAAAATCAAATATTTGAGCAGCCAAAAGTACCAATGGCGGTCAAATATTTGACTTTAGAGATAAGAGTGATCTTGCTAACATTGTTCTCTGTGGTTCTTGCATCCTACACCGTGTACAACCAGAGCGCAGGGAGAGTCCCGAACAGAAGATAAAGGATGTTGAAATAACGATAGCAAAATTCACACTTCTGCTTCCATTTTGGTAGAGAGGAGGGAACCTTTATGAAACGTGTAGGTACCTAATGGAAGGGAGTTTAGCTCTAGGGAAGCAGCTCTGCTCCTCGGGTGTCGTTATTTACTGCATAACTTCCATCAGTGAAACTGCAGCGCTCCCATCCTGTGCTTCCTACGTAAGGAAGAGTCACCTTTGCAGCCCATGGAAGTTTTACATGGAAGGAATTAACGTTCAGGTCCCTGATTATTCTGAATACAAAGGAGTGGAATCAATCCGTAAACTGTGAAATAAAAATTACATTTTGGACAGGTCTGTTTCTATGTCAGAACTTATTATAGAGCAGGTTTTACCTGTATAAACTGTACGTAATCAATAATCGACATCCCGATGTGATGACTGCAGTAGATACATTCATTCATTTCAACCTGCTGCATTTTGTAGTCTGCTGAGAATTCCAAAAGTGTTCTTTATGCAAAATACTTAATTATAATTTTATTTAAGTGCTGTCAACGTGGCCAGTAGTAAGAGTGCAGGCAAAATCCAATGCTTTTAAGAAGGACAGGTGGAATTATTACCAGCAAGGCACATTTCGGAGGTTTATCTGTACTGTTTTGTTCCCTTGTCAACAGTGCATGCCAGGACGAGTTTAAAAAGGACATAGATCTATAATAGCTTTCTTCATCCCTGTGCACACCTTTCATCCCATTATACTCATCGGTCTTTCATCTTTATAGGACAAAGACAGGCTTGTTTATGGACGTTTTAATGAATTAGACCAGCCACTCGCTCCCGTATGTAGTCAAATACACCACCTGCTTTGATATGTACAGTTTTCTATGACGTTTAGGGAAAATTAGAAGATCTGTTGTAGAACTGATATTTTTGGGGGGACTTTCGACAATGATCCCTTTTAAAGCAGAGCTGAATTGCTAAATGCAGACTGTAGTAAACTGTGTCCTAGTTTTGTAAGAGACTCTGCGAGCATTGCATTTCACAGGTAGGCTTTTATTACTATGCTAGAGCCATCACAATGAGGAAGCGTCACAGCATAATAAAGTCGCATCTTAGAATGGAGGAAGTAAAAGTGAGTAAAGAAATGATACTTTTAAATTTCAATAAATAAAACATGCTCTTCCAGACTTCCAAATGCTGATCTACAAATGCACTTTTTTGCTGTATTCTTATTCTTCATCTGTCTAGTCGTACAACTTTAGAGGGGAAAAAAAAACCCAAAAACATTTACATTGCAAGAATTACCAGGCTAAATAGTAAAAAAAAAACCCAACCGCACAACCCCCCCCATTGATTTCTATGGAGATACTGTGTATATTTATTCCAGAGAATTTGTACTGGGTATTGGTAGGGAGGACCCAGAATACAGGTGCTCCATTTCAGGGTTATGTTGCAGGGAGCTTTGTACTAAGCATGTAATGTTACTGTAAAATCTTGACAATTAATTAGATTTAGATTTATAACCAGTTAATTCACAGGCTACATTTTGTCTTAGCTTACACCTGTGCTAAGACGAATGCGGAATGGATTTGTGTCAAGAATGAAGTTACAGGTAAATTAAAAGAGAATTTAGCCACAGTGGTCTAAGTTAGCCAGTTAATTACTGGCTAATGTTATAAAATCTATTACTATAATTTCAGTATTTGGAATTTCATTTCAGATCCTGTCCAAGTACAGTTTAGAAACTGATCCATTTTAGGAACTGAAAAAACACAAACCATTTTTTGCACAAGTTTAATTTCAAGTTTATAAACAGCAACTAAGGAGTAAACATCCTCTAGATTACTTAGACCCTCTCTTCTAAAAATAATTGAGTTGTCCTTGTGTGGGTAATCTTGCCTTGGTAAACAGACTTGCTTAGAAAATTTTTTAAAAGAGTCGGCACACATGATATGTAATTTGCTAATTTGTCTCATGGTTGATTATAAAATGAACAACATTGTATAATCCTGGCAAAAAAAATGGGGGGGGGGGGGAATTAGTCATTCTTGGAAGGAGCACATGAAAGTGGCTTTTGTTAATGTAAATCAAGAAGCTGAAGAGCCCCCAAGTTCCCTTTTATTTCATACCATCTGGCTATCCTTTTTGTTGACAAGTGTTTGGCATAGAGAACCATCTCTTTGCCCTTTAATAACAGGCTTTAACACTGTAGGGTATTAGAAAAAGATTCTATAACAGTTAAAAAATTTCCTTCGGGGAATACTTTATAAAGTGAGCACGGGCTGCAGGCATTTGCAGCTGTAACCTGGCTTGTGTTAAAATTTGGAAGGGGCTGCCTTGCATTCCAGCTCACTACAGGCCTTCATTGGTGTACAGCCAAAGGTTAATATAGATGTCACACAGTTTTTCTTTGGAGAGCCTCAGATATAAGAGTACGCGTACAGCTGTGTTTTTAGTAACCCTTTCATAATCACTTCTTTTAAACCTCATTTTCCTGCTTATATAAATCAAAGATTTTCAAGGATATTTGACCTGGATTTGAACTTATTTGATCTTCACATATTTCCCACTTGAAACAAAGCAGATTAAATGTTAGCCCTGGATGCCTGGTCATGATCACATGGTTTGTCCATACATTAGGCCAAGCCCTCGGCTTTTTTTTTTTTTTTCTCCTCCACCTAGCGCTGTTACAAGCTCTCAAGCTCGAACAGGTACATCCTGTAATCGTTTTGGACCGCATGGATATACGCAGCACTTGGTGGTATAAGATTTGCTACGGTAGAAAGCTTGCAGCAAACTAAAGGTGTGAAGTACGCTGACCGTGCAGCAAGTAACCGGCGGGTATGCTTTGAATGTACAGACCTATTCTAGAGAGAAATGAATTCTTTGTCTAATTTTCAGGTGCAAAATGGCAGAACAGAACAGGAACTATTTACCTCCGCCATGTGGGTGCGGTGGTAGCAGAGAATGGAGCAGCTGAGGACAGATGTCCTCATGCAAGAAAAAAGGACATGGAAATCGTCCCCATCCGCTCGCCCGCTTCTGCGGCGGATTTATCCCAGAAGCAGGGGCTTTCCTCCGTTCCCACACAGGCTGTCCTGGGGAGGGAAGCCCCCTCCGGGAACTGTAGTTTAAAAGCCAAAACACAACGGCTTGTAAAGTGCTTTGACGGAGACAAGCCTTGATGGCCAGATCTTGTGATGCTTGTAACAGGAGTTGGGCACAAGTGAAGCGTACAGGACCTGCTCCCACCCGAGCTCTGCTTGCGGTCGGTTTTCCTTGTGTGCGTGCATCCCCCGTCGCTCCTTTTGCAAAGGAGGTTGAACGGCCTCTGGGCAGGCAGCATGAA